GCCCACAAGCACCACACCCGCCCACAAGCCACCACCCGCCCACAAGCACCACACCCGCCCACAAGCCAACCACACCCGCCCACAAGCCAACAATACACCCGCCCACAAGCACCACACCCGCCCACAACCCACCACACCCGCCCACAAGCACCACACCCGCCCACAAGCACCACACCCGCCCACAAGCCCACAATAACCACCACCACCCGCCCACAAGCACCACACCCGCCAACACCAACCCGCCCACAAGCCAAGCACCACACCCGCCCACAAGCACCACACCCGCCCACCCACAACCCGCCCACAACCACCACACCCGCCCACAAGCACCACACCCGCCCACAAGCACCACACCCGCCCACAAGCACCACACCCGCCCGCACCACGCCGCCCACAAGCACCACACCCGCCCACAAGCACCACACCCGCCCACACCCACCACACCCGCCCACAAGCACCACACCCGCCCACAAGCCACCACACCCGCCCACAAGCACCACACCCGCCCACAAGCACCACACCCGCCCACACCCACCACACCCGTCCACAAGCACCACACCCGCCCACAAGCACCACACCCGCCCACAAGCACCACACCCACCCACAAGCACCACACCCGCCCACAAGCCACCACACCCGCCCACAAGCACCACACCCCGCCCACAAGCACCACACCCGTCCACAAGCACCACACCCGTCCACAAGCACCACACCCGCCCACCACCACAACAACCCACCACAAGCCCACCACACCCGCCCACAAGCACCACACCCAGCACACCCGCCCACAAGCACCCGCCCACACCACACCCGCCCACAAGCCACCATAACCCACCCACAAGCCACCACACCACCCACACCCGCCCACACCCACCACAACCCGCCCACAAGCACCACACCCGCCACAAGCACCACACCCGCCCACAAGCACCACCCCCGCCCACAAGCACCACACCCGCCCACAAGCACCACCCCCGCCCACAAGCACCACACCCACCCACAAGCCAACCACACCCGCCCACAAGCCAACAATAACCCGCCCACAAGCCCACCACACCCGCCCACAAGCACCACACCCGCCCATACCCACCACACCCGCCCACAAGCACCACACCCGCCCACAAGCACCACACCCGCCCACAACCACCACACCCACCCACAAGCACCACACCCGCCCACAAGCACCACACCCGTCCACAGGCACCACACCCGCCCACAGGCACCACCACCCGCCCACAAGCACCACACACACCCACAAGCACCACACCCGCCCACAACCACCACACCCGCCCACAACCACCACACCCGCCCACAAGCACCACACCCGCCCACAAGCACCACACCCGCCCACAAGCACCACACCCGCCCACAAGCACCATAACCCGCCCACAAGCACCACACCCGCCCACAACCACCACACCCGCCCCCACCCACCACACCCGCCCACAAGCACCACACCCGCCCACAAGCACCACACCCGCCCACAAGCACCACACCCGCCCACAAGCACCACACCCGCCCACAACCACCACACCCGCCCACAAGCACCACACCCGCCCACAAGCACCACACCCGCCCACAAGCACCACACCCGTCCACAAGCACCACACCCGCCCACAAGCACCACACCCGCCCACAAGCACCACACCCGCCCACAAGCACCACACCCGTCCACAAGCACCACACCCGCCCACAAGCACCACACCCGCCCACAAGCACCACACCCGCCCACAAGCACCACACCCAGCACACCCGCCCACAAGCACCACACCCAGCACACCCGCCCACAAGCACCACACCCACCACACCCGCCCACAACCACCAGACCCACCCACAAGCACCACACCCACCACACCCGCCCACACCCACCACACCCGCCCACACCCACCACACCCGCCCACAAGCACCATAACCCGCCCACAAGCACCACGCCCGCCCACAAGCACCACACCCGCCCACAAGCACCACACCCGCCCACAAGCACCACACCCGCCCACAAACACCACGCCCGCCCACAACCACCAGACCCACCCACAAGCACCACACCCCACCACACCCGCCCACACCCGCCCACACCCACCACACCCGCCCACAAGCACCACACCCGCCCACAACCACCAGACCCACCCACAAGCACCACACCCCACCACACCCGCCCACACCCACCACACCCGCCCACAAGCACCACGCCCGCCCACAAGCACCACACCCGCCGCACCCACCATGACCTCCAACAAAGCACCCACAATCTCCGGCCTCCCACCACACTCCCTGGACCCGGTCCACCGTCATGATGCCAGCCCTCCTCTGCCTCTCCGTAAATAATACAACAGTTTTGCCTAACCAGTAACGTAAGGACCCACATAACCTATCGAGATCGAGGCAGAGAAACATGAATATTTACATTGCCCGGAGGCTGGCACAGATTAAGAGCATCATATGAGAGGTGGAAGAGTGGTGTAGGGTGTAGAGTGACTGTGTCCAGTGACTCCCTGCACACTGCACCGCGGGTTGGTACAACCAGTCAACCAACTACCAACCACTTATTTTGATGACAAGGAACAATTGAAAAGCCAACATAAGTGCACTGGTGCCTAATGAGGCTCAGATGCCTGTGTGGATGGGGAACATTGTGACAAGTTGGTGAAGAGAGAGACCTTGGGACCTGTGTGGGGACATACCCGACACACCACTCTAACATTATCTAACACAGTGCCCAGTTACAACCCAACTACTATTTCAACTGAGATTTAACAATGCAGACGTTGTAAGACCCGCTGGACACAACCTTACCCAAGCCAACATACGAGGCATAAGTACTCAACAACCGTCTAAGGAAGACAGAAATTTAACCAGCTTGATGATTGATAGATTGATTGATAAAGATTAAGCCACCCAAGAGGTGGCACGGGCAAGAATAGCCCGTAAGTGATGGGGTTCTGGGAGTTCTTGTAGTCCCCAAGCCCGGCCCGAGCCAAGGCTTGACTTGTGAGAGTTTGGTCCACCAGGCTGTTGCTTGGAGCGACCCGCAGGGCCTATTTGTAACACTTAGCGGGTCAGCCAGAGGCTTAGGGCCCGCGCGGGAACAATAAAGGTCAACCTTTCTATATCATGAACAAATTCATCGCACTTTTGTGCCTATTATCCCGGAGGTGGATGGAAACACTGTGGCGAGAGTTGCCAAACGTCACCACATGTTGCATTTGCTTCCGAAAATGCGGTTGTTATGGTGATCTGGCGGCCATGATTGGTTGTTCTCCAGGTTGTAATTTGACATTGATGGTCGCGACTTTGAGTTCACCTTGCAGTTCCACCACCAAACACCGGGTTCTCGTCCGGGTCTGGCGCAGTAGGCGTACTAACCCGTCTCTCTCTCGCCCTCTACGGCGCATTTGTTAACGGACTCCACCAATCCGGTGAAAGTGAAACGTGTTATTCAGTATTAAAACACCGGAATATTGACGTTTTCTATGCATCGACTTTGATAGGTTAGGAGGGTTGCTTGGGTTCATACGTTTCCGGTTAAGCTTTGTGAAGGATTGTGTGGTACTATGTTGGGACCATGTTGGGGGCCATGTTGGGGACTATGTTGGGGCCATGTTGGGGACTGTTGGGGGCCATGTTGGGGGCCATGTTGGGGACTATGTTGGGGCCATGTTGGGGACTGTTGGGGACTCTGTTGGGGGCCATGTTGGGGACTGTTGGGGACTATGTTGGGGCCATGTTGGGGACTGTTGGGGACTGTTGGGGGCCATGTTGGGGGCCATGTTGGGGCGGTGATAGGAACATATTGGGTCAGCACCACGGTGAAGCGTCATGTGGGTAGTGTTGAGTGACGGCGTGTGTGACGGTGGTGGTGACGGCGTGTGTGACGGCGGTGATGACGGCGTGTGTGACGGCGGTGATGACGGCGTGTGACGCGTTACGGTCACCATCCAGGTCAACCACCACACTTGTACTCCGCGTCACACTATCACTCTTTAAAGATAAGATTATATATCTATCAGTAATCAGCTAGTGGAGGAGGAGGAAGCAACTGGTGTCGCACAGTTCACTTGGGGAAGTTGGGAGTGAGCGGTGTAGGGAGGCCAGGAGCTACATCACACGGTGGGGGGGCGGGGTGAGGTAGGCGTGAGAGAGGCTCGCTCTGCCGGCCACCAGCCTAACGGGCCCAGACCTCGCCGCTGTGACTCATAAACATCAAGGAATGCAACGGTAATTGGCTGACCTACAGTTGGACGCGGGAACAGCTCTCTGGTGTCACGCTTGTCACAGAGATGGGTGACACGGCGCTGCTCCGTCACATGTGTGACGGCTGGTGTTGGTTGTGGTCCGGGTGTTGCCTTGTCACGCAGGCACACACGTACGCACGTGCACACACACGCACGCGCGCACACACACACACACACACACACACACACACACACGCACACACGCACACACACACGCACTCACACACACGCACGCGCACACACACACATACGTACGCGCGCGCACACACACACACACACACACACACACACACACACACACACACACACACACACACACACACACACACAGTATAAGTTAAGAAAATACTTGTACTGAACTCAGTATACATGAACTTACACTTCTTACCATCTGCCACGGTTGCAGACTATTGAAAGGAAGCTATCGGAGTGTTTTTTTTAATTGTGTAGTTGAATAATATATATTGATGGAGAAGTTTGGGATCAGTGTTTCAGAGAAGCAAATTACAGTGGACATTGTTGAGGAATGAAATATGACGAGTGTCCGTAATGGACACCAGCCGGGGGACACTGGGTGATGATTGTTCTCCCGCCAGCCCCCGTGGACGGCTGAGCCATGTGTGGACTGTGTACTGTCCCACCACCACCTGTCTCAGTGGTGGACTGGAGTGACTAGTGGGATACTGTGAACTGGTGGAGGTGTGCCATATGGTGGCAACTGTGACTGTCGAGTAGTGTGGTGGGCCCCAGACTTAGCGCCAAGTGTAGTGTGCCCCCACACACAGCATCTTGTGTGCTGGGCCCCACATGCAACATCAGGTGTGGTGGGCCCCACACACAGCAGTAAGTGTGGTGGACCCCAAACACAGCAGCAGATGTGGTGGGCCCCATTCCTCTACCATGAACTCTGCCCATCAACCTACTCTCATCATGTTGTCACTCTTGAATATTTCTCTGGGTAAGTTGTCTGGGCCTGGATCCCACCGCTGCCACCAATCTCATTTTCCTAATTCATAATTCATATAAAGGATGGTAAATAAATACCTAATTTTAATTCAGATTTTTTGGTCATTTAATGTACGAAAATAAACTGTTAGGACAGGTGAGGTAAGGTGGGATGATTTAGAGACTTGAGTCTTATATATAATGATTTGGAGGCTTTTAAGTCTTATGTGTGATGTTTTTATTTTCCATTAGACGGAGAGTTAGCCAAGAAACAGGGCGCGACTAATGAGTCGCCAGGAACCAGCACCACCACCACCCAATCCTACCCCCAACCTGCAGCCACCACCTCCCCTACCAGTGGCCACGCCCCTCGCCCAAAACGCCCAACCTTCCTACCAATCAAGAACCATGCTCGCCCTGCTCTCTCATCCAATGACAAGCGATCTCCCATCGGAGCTGACAAGGGATTGGAGGAGAGTTCGCATGATTCCCTCCCCCTTTGTAGGAACTCTGGTGAGAGAGCTCCTCCTTGCTCGCCGCACAGCAGCCTACCCAATAGCATGTACCAGTTACCAGCAGGTGCGAGGTTGCGCCCTTCTTGTCTTCGTCAGTACCTATGTCATGTCATGATTACCTCTCTTGCTCCTGCATGAATACATTTGCATCCCGCTCATTTGTTTTGTTGCCTCTGCTTATTGGGAGATGAATGTTTAGCATATTCCTTAATATTATGTTAAGTTCGTAGTCAGATCCATGCTTCAATGCTTAGCGCCTCACTAGTGCCCCGGCCTCGGGCGGACCTCCGGCACACCCGCCACTGGCAGGTAACTACACGGTTGCCTACACACATTGGCATCTATGACAGAAATTAATTTTTTTTAGAGCCAGTTGGTGGGGTCGGCGGTGGTGGCCCCGTGGCAGTACGAGGTGTCGCCATGGCCGTCACAGATCATGCTCAAACTGTATATAACAGCACGCTATATAAAACAAGCAAACTACCAAACAACGTTAATATAACACCGAATCAACGCTGATTTGACGTTGCTGGAACATATTCCCAGCGGTCACAATATCCAAGAGCAACTGCAATTCAACGTTGAATTAAGGTTAATAACGTTGACTCATGGTAACATGACCAGCACGTCTCTATATTGTGGGGAGAGAGAGGGGTTGTGGGCGGCGTGTAGGAGGCAGGCTCTGTGACGGTGGTGGGGAACACCTCGCTGCTCTGATCACTCTGCACGAGGGGTGTAGGGTTACCCCCCCCCCCCCCCCACGCTGTCTGGCCTCCATGAGCGGCCAGGCACTGTCACATACACACATCATGTCCTCCTCTTCATACACCAAACTCACCGTATGTCTCCGGCTCTACAGTGACGACGCCTCCGGCGGGCTCAGGCGGGGCCGGCACTCCTGGGGGGACGTCAGGCACCAGCCCCACCACCAGCGCCTCCGTCACCCCCACCTCCAGTGACGTCGCCATGGTGGCTCGTAGGAACAAGACTCTCTACGGTAAGTACGCCAACACTCGGGGCCTCACCTCTACCACCTTCTACTCACACATCACACTTATCAGCTAATTACTTAATTAGTTTGTTTTAATTATAATAAATGAGTACCTAGTCTTCCTTGATGTGATGCGTACTTTCTACATCACGTCAAGTATTGACTAGACTGTCTCCTCAAGTACTGTCCACAAGGACCACGAGCTGGGATGTGAGGACAAGGAGCTGGGATATGAGGACAAGCAGCAGAGATGTGAGGACAAGCAGCAGGGATATGAGGACAAGCAGCAGGGATATGAGGACAATCAGCAGGGATGTGAGGACAAGCAGCAGGGATATGAGGACAAGCAGCAGGGATATGAGGACAAGCAGCAGGGATATGAGGACAAGCAGCAGGGATGTGAGGACAATCAGCAGGGATGTGAGGACAAGCAGCAGGGATGTGAGGACAAGCAGCAGGGATGTGAGGACAATCAGCAGGGATGTGAGGACAAGCAGCAGGGATGTGAGGACAAGCAGCAGGGATATGAGGACAAGCAGCAGGGATATGAGGACAAGCAGCAGGGATATGAGGACAAGCAGCAGGTATATGAGGACAAGCAGCAGGTATATGAGGACAAGCAGCAGGTATGTGAGGACAAGCAGCAGGGATATGAGGACAAGCAGCAGGGATATGAGGACAAGCAGCAGGTATATGAGGACAAGCAGCAGGTATATGAGGACAAGCAGCAGGGATGTGAGGACAAGCAGCAGGGATATGAGGACAAGCAGCAGGGATATGAGGACAAGCAGCAGGGATATGAGGACAAGCAGCAGGTATATGAGGACAATCAGCAGGGATATGAGGACAAGCAGCAGGGATATGAGGACAATCAGCAGGGATATGAGGACAAGCAGCAGGGATATGAGGACAAGCAGCAGGGATATGAGGACAAGCAGCAGGGATGTGAGGACAAGCAGCAGGGATATGAGGACAATCAGCAGGGATATGAGGACAAGCAGCAGGGATATGAGGACAAGCAGCAGGGATATGAGGACAAGCAGCAGGGATGTGAGGACAAGGACCTGGAATATGAGGACAAGGACCTGGAATATGAGGACGAGGACCTGGAATATGAGGACAAGGACCTGGAATATGAGGACAAGGAGGCTGTGATAGAGCCGAGGAAAAGAACGGTGCTCACCTATGAGGACCACCAGGACATGGACCAGTAGCGACCAGCAGGACGCGCGACCGTCGCTCTACACCGACCAGTCCAGAGGTCGGGGGACACACACATGATACCCATGTTGGGCACAATAACATATTCCACTCTCACACTGTTCATGCCGCTATACTTGGCGCTGGACATTCCTACGACAAGTGTCTGATGGATCCCAGATGCTTCTTCAGAGGCGAGTTCCCCTTAGCTACGGAGTGTAGTTAGTGAAAGAAGGCAGAATTTGCGTGTTGTGAAGGAGGGATTAATGTATTGTAGCCAAGATACACGTGTAGTGTGGCCAGAATAAGGTTGTTATGAGGGCAGATGGGTCATTACGCCGAGGCTTGTGGCTGAAGGATACGGCTACTGAATTGATTAGGTGGTGAGAATGGGCTGGATTAACTGGCATTTGGCTATTGTTTATGAGGTCGGACTGTAAGTTGATTGTTGAGTTAACTCACAACCTCGTCCGTCCGTCCGTCCGTCTGCTGGTTCTTATGCAAGTGGTAGTTTGTGGGGGGGGGGGGCTGGTGGAAGGTACACCTCCATCTAACTTGTCCTGTGGCAGAGATACACCTGTGTGTGTGTGTGTGTGTGTGTGTGTGTTCACCTAATTGTGCTTGCAGGGGTTGAGCTCTGGCTCTTTGCGCCTGCCTCTCGCCGTCAATCAACTGGTGTACAGATTCCTGAGGCTACTGGGCTCTATATTTTCCCCTCTACCATTTGTTGGACCATTCATTCAGTCTGTCTAGGTCATCTTGTAATCTCCTACTATCATCATCTATTTTAATCCTCCTCATAATTTTTGCATCACAACAAACAATGAGAGAAACGATTCTATACCGTCTGGGAGATCATTTACATATATCAGAAACAGTATAGGTCCAAGGACCGACCCCTTCGGGACTCCACTTGTGACGTCACGCCAATCTGAGACCTCACCTCTCAGTGACTCGCTGTCTTCTGTTGCTTAGGTACTCCCTTATCCAATGGAGCACCTTCCCTTTCACGCCAGCTTTTTCACTAGCCTCTTGTGTGGTACTGTAACAAAGGCTTTCTGGCAATCCAAAAATATGAAGTCTGCCCACCCTTCTCTTTCTTGTCTGATTTTTATTGCCTGGTCGTAGAATTCAATTAACTCTGTTAGGCAGGACTTGCCATCCCTGAACCCATGTTGATACTGTGTTACAAAGTTCTTTCGCTCCAGGTGCTCCACTAGCTTTCTTCGCACAATCTTCTCCATCAGCTTGCATGGTATGCAGGTTAGGGACACTGGCCTGTAGTTCAGTGCCTCCTGTCTATCCCCTTTCATGTATATCGAGACTACGTTAGCTGCTTTCCAAATTTCTGTCAGTTTCCCTGTTGCCAGTGATTTGTTATACACTATGGAGAGTGGCAGGCACAATGCTTCTGCTCTTTCCTTTAGTATCCAAGGGGAGATTCCATCGGGGCCTTTGTCACATCCAAATCTAATAACAACTTCCTTACTTCCCCGCTGGTAATCTCAAACTCCTCTAGTGGTTCTTGATTAACAATTCCCTCTCTTATCTCTGGAACTTCTCCTTGCTCTAATGTGAAAACCTCCTGGAATTTCTTATTCAGTTCCTCACACACTTGTCGTTTGTAATGAATCCTTCTGCCCCTGTGTGTGTGTACTCACCTAGTTGTGTTTGCGGGGGTTGAGCTCTGGCTCTTTGGTCCCGCCTCTCAACTGTGTGTGTGTTTGTGTGTGTGTGTGTGTGTGTGTGTGTGTGTGTGTGTGTGTGTGTGTGTGTGTGTGTGTATGTGTGTGTGTGTGGACTGGGGTGGTTTGTTCTCAGCCTGCATCTAATACACTGTATGTGATCCTCAGTATTCAAATATACAAGAGTATAGAGGATTATACAGCATGAGTGGTCCAGCTGGAGCAATGTACAGGATACACACACACACACACACACACACACACACACACACTAGAGTATACATCACCTACACTGGTGTATATACTACATACAGTCGTATACAAAAAAGACAATCCAGAAGTATCCCATCAACCAAAATACCCGAGGATTAAGAGAAGGAAAAGCGACGAGAAACATTCACCATTTAAAATGTGTTAAGACCTTTCCTGGCCGCTGAGAGTAATACTGAACAATACTAGCGTTAAGCATACAGACTGGGCAGTGTACAACCAGGATATAAGAGGTTGTATGGTGGTGGGTTTACCTGCAGTAGGGAGGAGTGATGCTGCAAATGGATAGACGACTTCTAGAGTGAGGAATTATTTGCCTTATACAGGTGCTCTGTACTAGTGTACAGCTCATCTACACCTGTATTCACTAGTAGGACATTGGCAGAGGCGCCAAACTGTGGTAAGCTAGTGGGTGATTGGGTAGCTGTTTTTGGTGTTGAGACGGGATCGGTAGTCTCTATGGGTCCGGAGGGACATACTCCCGCCCAGTACCGCTGGTCAACAAGGGGAATGTACTGAAAGAAGAAGTTGTGGAAGCCACCTCCAGCCACAACTTTAAGGCCGGATTTGACAGAGTTTGAAGGTCAGAATAGTTAACGTGTACCACAACAGGTCAACAATGGTGGTCGGTAGGCGGGGTGTGAAGCACCAGACCTCACCCCTTCTCATCCACCACCACAACCTTCTCATCCACCATCACCACCACAACCTTCTCATCCACCATCACCACCACAACCTTCTCATCCACCATCACCACCACAACCTTCTCATCCACCATCACCACCACAACCTTCTCATCCACCACCACCACCACCACAACCTTCTCATCCAACATCACCACCACAACCTTCTCATCCACCATCACCACCACAACCTTCTCATCCACCATCACCACCACAACCTTCTCATCCACCATCACCACCACAACCTTCTCATCCACCATCACCACCACAACCTTCTCATCCACCATCACCACCACAACCTTCTCATCCACCATCACCACCACAACCTTCTCATCCACCATCACCACCACAACCTTCTCATCCACCACCACCACCACAACCTTCTCATCCACCATCACCACCACAACCTTCTCATCAACCATCACCACCACAACCTTCTCATACACCATCACAACCTTCTCATCCATCACCACCACAACCTTCTCATCCACCATCACCACCACAACCTTCTCATCCACCATCACCACCACAACCTTCTCATCCACCATCACCACCACAACCTTCTCATCAACCATCACCACTACAACCTTCTCATACACCATCACAACCTTCTCATCCATCACCACCACAACCTTCTCATCCACCACCACCACCACAACCTTCTCATCCATCACCACCACCACAACCTTCTCATCCACCACCACAACCTTCTCATCCACCACCACCACCACAACCTTCTCATCCACCACCACAACCTTCTCATCCACCACCACAACCTTCTCATCCACCACCACCACCACCACAACCTTCTCATCCACCACCACCATCACAACCTTCTCATCCACCACCACCACCACAACCTTCTCATCCACCACCACCACCACAACCTTCTCATCCACCGCCACCACCACAACCTTCTCATCCACCACCACCACCACCACAACCTTCTCATCCACCACCACCATCACAACCTTCTCATCCACCACCACCACCACAACCTTCTCATCCACCACCACCACCACAACCTTCTCATCCACCACCACCACCACCACAACCTTCTCATCCACCACCACCATCACAACCTTCTCATCCACCACCACCACCACAACCTTCTCATCCACCACCACCAAAAACAACCTTCTCATCCACCACCACCACAACCTTCTCA